TCATTTCTCAAAACGAAACTCATTTCACTAGTATAAAAGCACATCAGCGGCCATTTCCCCCAGGAGATAGTTTGATTATTTCAAGAAATGGGTGTGTTTTTTTGTGATTTTCAGGTGATCACCCCGTTCAGATCCCTGGTGCTGTGCGCCGAGTCCCGCCGCGAGATGGAGGACTGGCTCAGCGCCCTCACTGCCGCTTCCCAGCGCCGCTTCCACGAGCCCGACCAACCAGACTGCCTTTCCGGCTACCATCATTGGTACGCCACGTCCCATGCCCGCCCCACCTACTGCAACGTGTGTCGGGAGGCCCTCAGCGGCGTCACCAGTCATGGCCTCTCCTGCGAGGTCTGCAAATGCAAAGTGCACAAGCGGTGCGCCGCCAAAGCCATCAACAACTGCAAGTGGACGACGCTGGCCTCCGTCGGGAAAGACATCGTCGAGGAGGCCGATGGGGTGAGTGCAAACACCTGGGGTTTTCGATTAAAAATCTGCTGTGAACATCGCACGACTTTCCTTATCCTACTTATTTGGAAAACGTCATTGCGTTAGTGCCACCTGCCGGATTACACACCAAAATTTTATCATACAGGGTGTCAATTTTAAAACTTGCAATCGGCAATATCTCTAGAACTAAAAAAGTTATTGAGAATCTCTCAAAACCGTTTCGGTGGTTTTTAGGGGGAATCAAAATGGCATGGTAAGTGACGCTCCTCCACCCACCCTTCAAGCCACAGCCACCTTAAGTTGAAAATTTTAAATGGCACGACCCTACTTGCGATACATCGTTGGAAAGCCCATAACAAGCGCTTTTCAAAAATGTCATACAACAGCCTATTTGGTAAAGTCATTTTTCCAATTATTCAAAAACGAAGACGTTAAATTTTATTTTTTCTTATTATATTCAAGGGTGGGTGGAGGTGTGTCACTTATCATGTCATTTTAATTCCCCCTAGGAACCACCAAAACGGTTTTGAGTGATTATTAAGAACTTTTTCAGTGTATATTACTGTTTAATAAGGTATATTTCATGATTCTAAATAATTTTTATCCCCGTGAATTTATTTATTGTATCTTCAACCTATAATTTTGATTTTTGGTATAATAACGGAGCGACCGATTTTTACCAAATGTTTCGTGCTGCGCCCCCTTCCTACAAGTAACTTACATGCCAAATTTCAACTTTCTAGCTCTTATCGTTCTTGAGAACAAATACAATACTTTCTTTATAGGATAAGGGAAGTAAAAATGTATCTTATTAATTTATTGTAGTTTGTTATTTTTAATTGAGTTAGGTTTTGCTGAAAATTGTGACGTAAACCAAAATTAACAGTAAGTGGTGATAATGCAATTTTTCGCACAGTTTCATAATAACTTTACGATATTACGTTAGCGTTTTATTGCAGTGCTTTTATGTTGCTTTAATGAAAAGTGAAGTGCAAAAATTTTGTTAAAAAACTGCATATTTTAATTTACTCTACTCTGACTGTGGTAACAACTATGATAAACCTGCAAATAATGTTTAATTTAATTCTTGTTAGCGCAGTCTGGCAATTTAGTTTAATTAGGATTCAATACAAGTTTAATAATTCAATTTTGCTAAAAATGCTTTTACCATAAAATAGTCCATTAATATGTCAATTAACTTTTCATTTCGAGTTTTCTGTCATTCAAATTCAATCAACTAGCGTATTGCAGTTTTATGAATTTAATATAAAAGGATCTGCCCACAAAAAAATTAATAAAACTGCATTTTTATTATTTTTAATAAAGTTTTTAGTATTATGATGAAGTGTTTGCCACAATAACTGATAAATTACAAACAATAGTTTTAAAGATGAGTTTAACAATTTCATTTATTATTAGTTAAATTGCTTTTTTTCAATATATCACTGCAATCTAGACAACTATTGCACAGAAGCCAATAAAAACGTAAGAAAATACAACTTGTTAAACTTCGATGTTTCGTAAAACTTTCGCAACTTCTGTTCTTACAATTATTTTAATTCAAAATGTAGGTAACTGTTTTTTTCAGTAATTAAAATATTTAAAAAAATTGTAGCGCATCCACCATAAT